GAAGCAGTAAAAAAAAGGAAAAAAAAATAAGGATACATCTGGGCGATTGGACACAGATGACTGATAATATTTTTGAGCAGTTTATTTCTAAGGAAACCCTAAAAAACGTGCGTGAAGAATTGCAAGTGAATAATTTAAACAGATCAAATCTCGACCATATTTTAACTTCATTGCGTTTCTTTCGGAATCATATTTCGTACGCGATGACCAAAATGTCGCGTTTAAATTAAAAACTACAATACGTGCCGAAATCTAAGTCACGTTAGTAATTTATAATTGCAATAAAATTGGATCTCATAATGAACATAATTTAATGGAGTGGAGATATATCATTTTTCATGCCAGGACGGTAAATCCGAGTAGAACGTTTTTACGCATTACGCGTGTAACGTATACCGTAGTTATACGAGTTTCCGCAATCCACCGACAAACTTAAAACAGGATTTGTATTCGCTCAGGAATTGGTATCGAGTACACTTGCGTGTATTATGAAATAATGTTAATACGAGTACGTTGTACACATGTGTAAGCAAACTGAACTCTGTGGATGTGCGGGATGCATATTAAGTAAATAATATAATATTATTTATGTGTGTTGTGTACACTGTACGAAGTAATTATAGTGGCGTACCCAGTGTATGTAGGCATGGTAAGAGATGGTAGTTCTTCCGAATTCTCGCACAATAATAATTAAGGCTTTTAGTGCATAACTAAAACGCATATCTATAAAACAAATCGTTCTATTAATAATTCAACTAACACGATTCCGGTGGTGGTGCCGTCAGAAAGAAAATGCCAAAATAATATTAACGATAAGGTATAGTACAGACGCGTATTATACACATAATATTATAATATACAATTCTACCAGCGGTAGAACATCGATCTTACTTACAATGACCAACGATATTAGTAAAATATAGTTTTATTACATTTCGGACAAAAATTAACTGTGTCCTTTTCGTGATCGTATGGATTAAAAAAAAAAAAAATTGCACTTTAATGTACAGGAATCCGCTCTAAATTTGTAAGTAGATGAACAAAAAGTAAATGAACAAGTACTTGAAGTAAATAAGTAATTGTGCTTATATATATATACATATATGTACGTGTGCATTACGCAAAAAACCAAGTCCAGTGACACTGCGACGAGTGGCGGTCCGCCGGCGTCGCGTCTCGTGTCAAGTCCATCGTCGTCACCACAGGACAAAGGTATGCAACGTACTACTGGCAGGTATTAACCACGAGCAATGGTCGTAATGCACGCAGCGGGCGGTGGCGACGGTTACGGCGGCGGAAGTGGTCGGCGACAAGCGGTGTACCGATCATGCGACGGTCTGCGTTTGAGTTCGCCAGTGCGCCGTCATTACTAAAAATGACCGAACGAAAAGTAGAACATAATATCTATATATACCTATATATGTCACCACGTAGTACGTCTTGATTTGGTCGGCGGCTATTTTGTGTTACGGTGCGGGGGAGTCAAGTAGGTTCGAATTTAAACTAATATTATTTGTTCGGTTGACGAGGTTTTTTTAACACTCGATTTTCCTTGAAATTCGGTACATTTTAGACCAGTAGCAGGCATTGAAAAGTTGATATATTTTAGTTTTAAAGATTTATAGCTGCGAAAAATCATTCTTAATATTTATGTATAAATATTTTTATTTTTTCTTTTCCTAGATAAAACAAAGGTGTTTTTATTTATATTAGGAATTTTCATACATTAAGTGTAATACATAATATATTTATATTTAAAAACTCATATCTCCTACGGTTATAATTGTATGTACCGGTCTGACTTGCCGAATTCTGTGCATCAATTTTGTGTGCACAGCAAACGTACGCGTATAAAAATATGTAAATCTTCGTCTTTCGGACGAATTCGAATAATTCAGGTATAGTACAGTATACTATTTGTACAAAGCAAATGTAAACAATGATTAGAATGTTGTTTGGTTCGGATGTATACTATATAAAATGTATTACATCTTATAAGTTTAATGTCCCTTTACGTTTTAACATTTAAACCGTAACGTTTTTCGCCAACCTTAAGGTGGTTCATGTTTGTACCGATGGCGTCATATTAGTGCGCTCAAAGTTATACAGCACTAGAATTATTGATTTTTAATAGTTAAGCAGGGTAATATACAAATTATTTTTTATGCCGAGGTTTATCGGACAAACCAGTGGCACGGAATAATATGTTAGTGTTATGTACGCATATAAAATTTTTAATATGGTCTTCCGACAAGGTTTCTTAATGTTTTGTCATTTCTTGACAATTTTATTACAGAGAATAAGTGTCTGCAACTACAATTTAAAATTTACTTTGTTGTCTCTGAAACAAATTTATAGTATTGTTCTAATTTTAAATTCTTTTAACATTATTCACACTGTTAAATCATTTTATGATCAAGGACGAACGAAACTAAGTATAGAGGTGTTATAAATGAGATAATGACTTGGTTTTTTTATCAGCAAGCTGAGAAAACGTATAAAAATAACTGGAGCATAGATACGCTACTGATTAAAACTATTTTGACCAGTTCAATTTAAAGTTATTTATTAATTTTCTTTAAATTAAATTATAAAATATATTATAGAATTAATAAATTTAAAACAATAGGTATTTATATTTAGAAAAAAGTGAATTAATTTTTTCTTCTTCGGACATACTCAATAAAATGGTTTATTATTCTACTACGCTATCGTATTTTTCATTATTATTTACAAAACTAAAATGCCTACAATAATATAGAATTTAACTGAATATTTATTTATATTAGAAAAATACAAGTTATATTTTAAAAGTTTTCGAAAATAAAGTTTTTCGATAAAATATATTATTTTCTTATGATTTTTATGATAGTTTCAATTAAAACTATTTATGAATAAATTTAACCTTCTAGTTTCTTTTTCGTCATATATTTACTATATATTCAAAGTTAAGTTTTAATTTATAAACAATCAACTAAAAATTAATATTAAATTAGTTGTTTATAAATACCAATTGGTTTTCACATTTTTAATTATATTCACGTTTTTCATGTATAGTAATTTATAAAAACGATTTTCATTTTATAAGTATCTTTAATAGATTCAAAGTTAAAATAAATGTTTTGATTGAAGTTAATGATATCATATTTGACGACCCCATACGTGTTATTAAACTAATAGTAAAATGATGCCAATTTAAATTAATTTGTAAGCATAAGCTATTGTCCAAATATAAATTAATTTAAACAGTTTACAAAATATGTAAATAAAATCAGATCCATAAGTGGTATGCTTAATTATAATGCTATAATAATTAAATCGATTTCTGAATGCGTTAAATTATATTTTTATAAATAGGTGTTTATTAAAATGTTTTAACTATTTTTTTAGATATTATGCGGAAACTATATATTTTAGAAACTATAAATAAATAATTAGTACTGTACCGAATAAAAAAGTGCTGTATTTGCATCTAGTATAAATTTGCAGTGTTAAAAGTATTATTGCTGATAATGTAATTATCATAATTTAAGAATCAACACCATTGTTAAATTAATAATTATTTGCGAATAATTCACATTCAATGGACGCGATAAGACATAATGACTTTAGTGTTCAGGAGAAATATGAATTGTGGTTTATTTTGTTATGATGATTGACGATTGATTCATAAACATATAGAAATCTCAGACGCTTCACAGTAAAAAGTAAAAAGAATAAATGGCATATATTTCTCATGAAAATCGCCTAGTCAATTGTTTATTTTTTTTTTTTTTAAAGCTAAACGATTATTATTATTTATTACGTTCTACCGCAGTCTGTTATCGGTAACAAAGTTCTGTGAATATATCTTTATAACTATCCTGTCTGGACGGTACAGTACAGTATTTGTGCGTACGATATTTTTTATAGTATCACATCGAGTCGCGTCTAACAGTGCCGTATGCAGTTGCAAGTTGGATTATCGTTTTAAATATCAACATTGGGTTCGTGTATTCCGGGTCATAACAAACTATACGGTTATTATATATTATGTACCTTTTTTTATTGAGACAATAATAGCGTTTCAAATGCGGTAGTATGTTATCATAATTGTATTACACTGTGCGGTCGTCTGCGTTTATTAAATTCATAGTTTCCATACGATTAATTAAACGTTCGCAATTCAATCGCCCCTGAGACTTTCGTTCAGAATCGACGGAATTGCACGTAATCAAAACCGCGTGTGGTCGGATAATAAGTATAATTTTCACGGACAGTATTGTTTTCCTCTCGTGCGACGATGCGCATGGTTATGGGTTCTCAAATACAACGCGAATCGATATTGAGCCTTAAATGATATAGATTTCCTGCGGAATCATGCGAGGGGGAAGAAGGGGAAAAAAAAATCCCCGACACTTTTGGGTTTTCGCAAACGTCCAACCGGTTCTGTTAACGCGCGCGCACGATTCGGCGATCCCAACGTTCGTGCGCGTATCGTACAATTACGATATTACGTAATTAGTCCGAGCCGCAAACGATAATAATAACGGTTATAATTGCGCTATTGTAATGATTAGGTACGTTTCCGTTCGATAAACTACGTCGGGATAACGCGCACGTGCCCGTCGCGACCAACACGTTCGGATCGCACCGCACGGCGGCGTGTCCACGCGAACACGTGGCCGGCGATTTCCCGTGCGAAAAGCCGATGGTGGATTTCCGCGGCGAAAAAATCGATACGGAGGATATACGATTCGCGCCCCGCGGCCGCGGCTACGACGACGGTGTGGTGGTGGTGGTGGTGGTCACGATTCACGTTTCTCGCGGCCGCGGGTAGCAGCACTGCGTTGCGCGCGCATCGGCACTGCTCGCGTGCTAATACTACTACTACTACTGTTACTACTACTACTACTACTACTACTATAGCACCGCGGAGCGAATAATTCCCGTAAACCACGCGAGCGTGTACACGGCGAAACCAGGGGCTCTAAAGTGCGTGAAACGACCGCGCCGCCGCTTCTATTTCCAGCGGCGTCGTCGTCGCTTAGAGGAGGTTATAATATCGTGCGCGCGTGTGAACCGTTTCGCATTCGAACGTGTACCGGCACGTCGTCACCGTCGGGCCCTGTATCGCTCTGCCTTACTCGTATCATCCCGCGTTCTCTTTCTCTCAATCACTCTCTCGTCCGCTGCCGCCGGCCATTCCATCGGCATTCCCATAATAAACAATCGCGTATTTATTTTTTCGATCCCCCCACTCCACCCGGCCACCCACACGCACACACGCGCCAGCGGTGTACACGTGGTTTTTTTTTTTTTTTATAATCGTTTTCCCGCACACCGCACCACCAACGGATCCGCGGTCCGACGGTACATGTCATATCGCGTGCGACATTGCAGTGTTGTCGCGGAGAGCAGTTCGATCTCGCGTTCATGTTGAACATCTTTTCCGACGAGCAGGGGCATCGCGCGTAGTCACGACGAATCGGTCAACTCAACGAATACGACGGGAACGCAACACGGAAAGAACAACTCCGTTCAGGTACATTAACAAACGCGCGCACACACACACACACACACCGTTTAAATTTATTATGACGTTCACTCTTGGTTTATAATAATTTTTTTTTTTTTATTATTTCTTAAATTTTTTAATTTTTTATTCACAATCAAATGTTCGTTAGTCAGTGATATTAGTTTTTAGCGAATCCTATGATCCGTACGCTGAACGTCGTGAACGAATATCGGTAAGGGGGTGGATGCGCGTGTGTGTCCGTAAAACGTACACGTGGGTATCCCCATTCACGCGTCAATACTCTGTTTCCTACAATACGCTACACAAACGTCGTAACTCACAATACCTACCACTATATTTCCAATGATACGTACCATAACTTTATTTATTCATCGACTGCGCTTAATTATTTAAAAACCTATATGTTCGCGATAGCTTAAAATCAATAAACGCTTTGTGTTTTCTGATTAGACGAAAACTCTTACATTTATACACGTTATGGGGTGTGTATTATTAAGATTTTTTTGCTGACCACAATATGACCACATCATATTTTTATTCTCTTTGAATTGTACATGTATAATCATTTATACCTTCTAAGACATATACGATACCGGATAATACGTTGTTATTTTGAAAATGGTATTGAATGAAAAAAATTTGTTATTTAGTTGATTATTAAGAATTCCACACGTGTATGACGTGAAATTATGAATATTTTGTGGCCACGTGGGATTACGATACCCTTACGAAACGCAGACGAATACGTTTGTATCGATTTTCTTTATGATACTAGCAAACGAGCGTCCGTTTATGGAAATCTTTGGTGGGGGTAGGGTTAACATTTATTACACTGATTAATAAGTTTAAAAAAAATTACAAAATAATAAATAAATAAATCATATATTTCCTTAACGTTTAATTTAAAAATATACGTATGTGTAAAATATCACAAGTTTAAAAAAATTAATAATTCCTTATGACCCCGTTCTCTTGACAAATACACACACACATATACGATTGAATTTATGAAAACATTTCGAATAAAACATCAAATGGAAAACGATATGAATGTTCGAATGTTTAACATGTAATATATTATTTTTGAGAAGTATAAGCCGCAATGACGTAAAAATTCTCTTCAATATTTCACGAAAAATATCCGCTAACGTCCGTGTGATATCGTTTTCATTCATCAGACTTTTTCCCACCTGTCGGCATAAGGTTCCAGTAGTTTGGCATTAGCCGTATACAACGATTGTGTTTGTGTGTATATGTGTTTTTTTTTCTATATGCCGTTTTCTTAAACAGTTTTTACCGTAAATTCGTAGGTTGTTTATCGTACCACCTCGTAATTTATTTTACAACTTGTCCCAAACTACAGGTAGGTACGTGCAAATTTGAACATATATACTGTATTTACCTGTAAGCCCGGTACATTTTTCGATAGGAAATATTATACCAAGAAAATGTATTAATTTATGTAAACTGTTCAGTATTAATACCAATTTGCTTATAAAACACATAAACATAAAACGATGTATGTACATAAATTATTAAATTATCTCTATTTAATTAAGGTACGTAAGTAATCTAATATATTTATGTATAATATACAATACAATATATAGAAATTTTATTATTTGCAGGTATACTTTAACACTTAATTTTAGATGTATAAAAAACATATACGAATATAATGTATATACATATATATACATACAAATCCTTTAATTAATATTTACATTAATTTAGTTATAATTATATTTTTTATTTCTATAATTCGTGCTCGCTGCGATCCCAGTTGTGAAGTAATCATTTTGGAGCAGCGTCATTGTGTAAAGTACCACGAGCATTGTACTATTTTCATGTTATTTTATGATGACAATAAAGATAACTAATACTATTCGTTAACATAAAAATTGATTAGTACACCTGTATGACGAGAAATCGTACGTTTCTCTTAACTGTTTGCTTAAAGCTAGCATGTATAGACGAAAAAAATACTTGTTTTATTTTAATATTATTACTATAAGCGGTGCAATACGTAAAGCTAGCATATTTATTTTTTCGTGTGCAAAAAAACGGTCTGTTCTTATTGTTATTTTTTTTTTTTTTTTTACTGGCGCCGATTGTATAATACTTTTACGCGTATTACTATATACATCGCAGACAGCATTGTGTATCAGAGCTGGTCAAATCCGTTAGGGTGACGTGCGTTTATTGGGACGGACGTACTCGGTAAAAATAAATCATGGTGGTGGCAATAATGACGGCATGAAACTCTTAAAACCAACCCCTTCTCCACCGCACGGCCACCACGATAGGTACACGTGCAATACAACAACCCCAAATCTGGAGCTAACGTAATTTCACCTAACCCTCCTGTCGAAACAATAATAAAAATGACGCAACATTGATTTATATGCCGTCACGTCGATATGTGCTACCTGATGTGCCAGTCTTAAAATTATTTCACGACTTATTTTCCTTAATCCTCTATTTTCACTCGTTATCGTATATGGAATTATATTCAACTCTTATTGTCACAATTCAGTAAATTAAAATTTTAACTTAAAAACTTTGTTCATACAAATTGTTCAATAGTCAATAGATTTTTACCTGTAAAGTATAAAGTGACGAATTCTTCAAAATGCAATACGCTCTGTAACCTTTGATATACTAGAGGCACTCGTAAGCACCTTTTACCGGGGCGGTGTCCCGCTAGAAACATTTGTTAGGTACATCTTGGTTAAATAAATTAAAATTTAGTGAGTACACCAGTACATCTATGAACATATTCAGTGATACATAAGCAACGTTTTAACGTTAAAGCAGTTATAAGTGGAGCGAAGCTAGACATTTTTTCGGGACAGGTGTGTTGTACAAATTAATCTGCCCCGATAAAATGTAAATGTTCAAATAGCCTCTGATAATCAGAGTCTGATTATAGTAAAAAAAATCACTAATGTTAACATAATGTTACATTCTCACTATACGTAAAATGGTTGGCCGGATAAACACTAAGTAGGTTATTAGTGTAATCAATCGTGTCATTGTTAATTCTCATACAGTCAAAAACAATATTGTACGTATTATCTATTTTGTGTGCTGTCTCTTGCGTCCTGTTGGTTATCGTAAGAATTTTCGAACACCGAATGTTTGTAAAACGCGGAACTTAACACTGCCAGTTATATACGCATATGTTAGTGTTATTCTTCCTCGTGTGCACGTTGCACTCATTGCTTTAGTGATGAATCACGGGCAAATAATCACGTCTTGAAGCTTTCTACACACATACGTACCGCCATTGATTGTAATACGTTGTGTACTACGTTGGGCACAGGTTATCATTGGCATCGAGTTCAAATCCGCATTTCCCGTGTATGATGAGCAAATAACAATAATTTAGTAATATCAATATTTCATGTCCGTCAATAATCAATTGAATCGCGTGATGATTCGCCGAAGCGCATTTAAGTTAAAGCATTAGTTTTTTTTATTTTTCATCGGCGCGATGGCGAATCATTATAATAATTGTTATCAGATTTAATTGATGCCGTTCGAGTATGTTTTAGTTATTGCATACTTGTATACTGCTGTTAGGTTTTAATATCGAAAACTCGATAAATACTAGTTCGTTTAATGGTATTACATCAAGGTGCTATCGTCCCAATCGTCTAGATCTTCACCGACTTTCCGTTTGATAAACGACCGATAACCAACATTTTCCCATTAAATACGATTGTGACGCAGTCAGTGTAGTGCATTGCGTTCTAGGTTTGTTTTGAATTATTTTTATTTTTTTCTATTTTTTTATATTCAGTAATTTCAGGTTACTGTAATGTTTTATAATAATAACCACAACAGGTTAGATTTTAAGTTTCAAATTATAATAAATATTCGTTATTTCTTATAGGTTTATAAATAATTGTTGATTTAAATTCTAATCAACATATTTGGTATCATTGAAATGCATCCGTTTCTTCAGTAATGTACTTTCAAACGTATGATGTCAATTTTGAGATGTGTAATTGTAGCGTAGATTCAATTGATTATGCATTAGATAGTTCAACTCTGATATTTATCGGTGAAATTTTGTAATTTTCGACTTATGTGATGGAATCTCAATTTCAGTATTACTATAATAATAAATCGAAAATCGCATACTTGCATCCAATTTAATTATAAAATTTTATGGTTTTGATTTTAAATCATTTCATAGTACAATATTTCAACGTGTAGTACCTACATGTAAATATTTTTTTATGATCTAAACATTTTTCGTTTCTACCGACTACTGCTTGCGCTTATATAATTTATTTAATTATGTTTACTAATCGGTCAATTAAGTACCCGATAATTTAAACAGTTATATATTATTATTGTTACGTTTGATTTAGTTTCGATGAAAAATACTTTTGAAACATTAATAATGATCGTTCATTGTAAATTACTATATAACAGTTCATCGTCTGATTTTTTTCTAAATTAACTGTCATAATATTATATTGACTATTTAAGTAGCTATTTATTGTTAACAAAAATTTTAATTTTCGGGACCGATTATCGGCAATGATATCTTTAAAATACGTAATAACTTAAAATAATCGGTTTTAAAAACTATTACATTTACGTTATCATTTATCTATTTATATATTGATTTCCGATTTGTTTTATTGTTCTTACTCTTCTTAGTTTATTCTCTGGTTTTATAGGAAAAAAAGCAGTGGAAATTAATTTTCAGGATTAAAGATTTACGACTTGTACTTATTGCATATATGATTTGATTTATTACACAGGAATAAAAATACGATATCAAATACTTTTTTATCTGAAACAGCGGCCCACATTATAATTTTTACGTGGCTATAAACTGATGCGAGTTTTTGTTTGGGCGATTCTTCCTAAATTCTTCCTAAAGTTGTTTGGTAAAAATATTTGGAATCAAAGATTTTATTTAATTTTCAGTAAATACGCAGTGATCATACAAATAATTTTAATTTTTCCAAATACGTTGTATTCAT